ACACCAGTGAGCAGTTTATGAAGGTCATATCGTTAGCACCAAGTATATCTGCAGACTCTGTTGTTACTCTCCTTGATTAGTTTAACTCTAAAGTTAAGATTGTCATAGATGACATTGCTCCTGTTAAACTTAGGAAGAGAACTGGCAAAGAGAGAGCCCCTTGGAGAAACTCAAGAGAAGTCCAAATGATTAAAAAGACAATGCAGAAAAGCTGAGCGTATGTGGAGAAAGACGAAACTAGTAGTCCATTATAATATCTAAAAAGACAGTCTTCATGCTTTTAATGTGGAACTCAACACTGCTAGGCAAAATTTCTTTTCAAGCCTTATAAACGTCAACGTAAATAATGCTTGTACACTCTTTGCAACGATAGAGAGACACACATTATGTCTGATTTCATGGCAATTAATGGTAAAGTCTTAGAAGAGATCATGCAAATTATGAAAGATCAACCTGCAGTCTTGACACGCTCTCCACATCATTCTTTAAAACGGTGTTTACCTGTTTAGAAATGGATCTTCTAAAAGTGGTAAATGCTTCACTTTTCTCAGAGATTTTTCCAAACTTTATTAAAACTGCAGTTGTTAAACCCCTCTTGAAGAAGAGCAACCTAGATAACACCATATTGAGCAATTACAGACCAATCTCAAATCTCCCTTTCATTGGCAAAATCATTGAAAAAGTTGTTTTCAACCAGGTTAACAAGTTCTTAAACTTAAAGGGCTGTTTAGACAATTTTCAATCTGGTTTCAGAGCACATCACGGTACAGAGAACGCCCTTATAAAGATAATCAATGATATCCGCCTAAATACAGATTCAGGCAAACTAACAGTGCTGGTACTGCTGGATCTCAGTGCTGCATTTGACACTGTCGATCACAGCATACTTTTGGATAGGCTGGAAAACTGGGTTGGGCTGTCTGGGACAGTCCTCAAATGGTCCAAATCCTACCTTGAAGGGAGATGTTACCATGTCAGTATAGGTGACCATAGGTCAAGGTGGACACTCATGACATGTGGAGTCCCACAAGGCTCAATTCTGGCACCTCTCCTGTTCAACCTTTACATGCTCCCTCTGAGCCAAATAATGAGAAAGAACCAAATCTCCTATCACAGCTATGCTGATGACACTCAGATCTACTTAGCCTTACTGCCTAATGACTATAGCCCCATTGACACCCTCTGCCAATGCATTGATGAAATTAACAGTTGGATGTGTCAAAACTTCAGTTAAACAAAGAGGAAACCAAAGTCATTGCGTTTTGGAACAGAAATGAGGTTCTCAGTGTGAATGCGTACCATGGCACTAAAGGTCAAACAACAAAAAATAAGATTAAGAATCTTGGAGTGACTATGGAGTCAGATATGAGTTTCAATAGTCAGAAGTCAAAGCAGTAAGTAAATCAGCATACTATCATCTCAAAAACATTGCAAGATGTTTTTGTTCATGCTTTTATCAGCAGTAGGGTGGATTACTGTAACAGCCTCCTCACTGGCCTTCCCAAAAAGACAGTCAGACAGTTGCAGCTCATCCAGAACGCTGCGGCCAGGATTCTGATTAGAACCAGGAAATCAGAGCACATCACACCTGTCCTCAGGTCTTTACACTGGCTCCCAGTTACATTCAGAATAGAGTTTAAAGTATTATTACTTGTCTATAAATCACTAAATGGCCTAGGACCTCAATACATTACAAATATGCTGACTGAATACAAACCTAAGATATCACTCAGATCTTTAGGATCATATAAACTAGAAGTTCCAAGAGCTCAGTCAAAGCAGGGTGAATCGGCTTTTAGCCACTATGCCCCTCGCTGCTGGAATCAGCTTCCAGAAGTGATCAGATGTGCTCCAACATTAGGCATGTTCAAATCAAGACTGAAAACACATCTGTTTAGCTGTGCCTTTACTGAATGAGCACTGTGCTGCGTCCGACAGATGGCACTATTATGTTTTTCTTTTTCATTATATTATAACCTATTTTAACACATTTTTATCTGTTTTATTCTTATTTTTATAATTTTTTATTTGCTTTTATTTTCTTACACTTGTCTCTTTTTTTCATGTCTATGTAAAGCACTTTGAATTGGATAAGTTGGCAGTTCATTCCACTGTGGCGACCCCGGATTAATAAAGGGACTAAGCTGACCAGAAAATGAATGAATGAATGAATGAAATGAGATGCTGCGCTGCCAAAAACTTGTATTGTTGTCGGCTAAGTGAACGAGTTGTTTATAACAGAGATTAATTTATAAACAAACTGCTCTCTCTGTCAGTATCAGAAGTGAAAGCAGGAGAGGGGCTGTGCAGGGTGGATAGTACATTTCCATACACACAAACACAAGCTTTTGTCATGAATGCTTGTGCGATCACTTATCCATCAATATAGAAAAGTGATGTAAAATTGTAAGTTTCGTAATTTTTATTGATATCAGTCAACTGCTGATATCCATCTGGTTATTACTACATAAAAAAAGAAAACACAATGCAGAACCAGTTACACAAGCTCGGAACTTTAAACTAGCACACAGTTGGCATAACTTTGTTTAGTTGCTGCAGTTTTGTTCCGTGCAGAAACACAGTGTTGAGAAGCCTTTACAATTAATTAACTGTGACGAATTAAAGTGCGATTGATAGTGAAACCAGTTAATCATTGTATCACTACATGGATGACACATGCATCGTTACATAGAGGCTGTAAAACTATACAAAGACACAAATGATTTTGTAACTTCCACTCTGACACATTCTGGAACATTAAGAATATTGATTCCTCAAAAGTAATCTCTGCTTGGTATGTGTCAGAGTTGTAAAGCTCTTGGCTCCGCCTCCCTGTTAAGTTGGGCGGGATGTCAAACTAATTTTCATGTGAAGTAACATACCCCTAAAACAAAACACGCCCCTAAAATTGCACTCTTTAACACATAATAATAAAAAATCTGAATTGTGTTTTGAACTGAACCTAAACTGGCACACTCAAAAGAACCATAATATTAATATTAAATCTTTAAAAAATGATAATGTTTTAAGGATAATGTAGCTAGCCTCTGCTCTCGTCCTGGATGACTTCTTCATTACTAAAAAAAGAAACGTTTAGTTTGTTAAGATCAAGTCAGCGCCCTCTAGCGGCGAATAATAATCATTACATTAATGCTCCGATTCGCCATTTCTCAGAAAAAACAGCAACTTCCTAAATAAAATATAGCATATTTATGTGTCTATCTTAGTATTTAAATGCTACAATATTTTTTTAGCAAAAGGAAATTTTTTATAAAAAGACAAGATACCTTTACCAAGACTGGACGCGACACGGAAGGTAGACAACCTTGAAGGTAGACAACCTGTGTTTAGTGCAGTAGTTAATTGTCTTCAGGAACATTTTTTGTTGTGCTGGTTGAATGTCTCTTCACAATCCAATAGTAGTGATTACAGTAAATGATCTAAATGTGTTTATATGTATTTTTATATTCTGGGAAAGGCTTAAAAATAAAAATAAAAAGTTCATCCAATTAAATATTGTCAGGCTGACATCTCCTATAATTCCGATAAGTAGCTCAAACTGTCTGTCATTAAATGCAGATTTGGGCTTTTGCGCATCTCTGTTCACTCATATCCACCAGTAGCGTTTGCATGCCTACATAAGCGCCTCGCGTTAACGACATGTGCACACAAGACCAATATGGGGCGTCGCGGCAAAATCAAATGCTGAATTGAAACTTTTTAAACTCCTGAATCAATATTGTAATTACTTTTGCACGCTAGAGGAAGGACGACACCATGGCTGAAATATTTCATTTAGACAGGTAATGTTCTGTTTTAAAACTATTTTTTAGATTCACGCAGAGCTGATGCAGATGTTGATGTTACAAATGGGTTGTATGTACAGACGTGTTGTTCAGCCACTGAAATCTCCCGTTAAAAGACTGATGTGACTTTTTTCAGTTTCATAAGGGACTTTTAACAGCATCGATAATAAAATTAACAAACTATGTTTGTAATGACACAACTTGTGACCTTACTTGGCAAACAATGGTTTTCGGAAACGCACCCTGGGAGTTATTATTAGGGATTATAGAAATAGCTAAATTTAGCTGTTTTTATTTTAGTGATTATTTTAAAAGAATGACAGTAAAACACAAACATGGTTATAAATATATATTAAAACATTTGCTTGTTTGCTGTAAAAATGTGTGATAATTAAAAAAAAAAGCTAGTTTGTGGCTTACTTCCAGGTGAAGCTATCCAGTCGTTGTAGCTGGTTTATTCTGGGAAATTTTCTTACCCCTTGGTTTCGAGTGTGGTCCTGAAAAATCTTTGTTCGTAGGGGTATCTAATCCTTCCCCTTAGACCTACACCTTTAAGCTAAAGAGAATTGGGACACCCCTATCCCTTCACGGGTACGCGCAAAACGAGGGGTAAGGGGAAGGGCAAAGGGGTAGAAGAGGTAGAGATTCTGCCTAAGTTACATTTGTGTGAGTAACAAGTAACCTTCAAGTCTTAGCCATCAAGTCTCAAGCAAGTCAATTTGGTTATTGCCAACTTTGTTTAATCAGATATTTGTACTTTATAATAAAATCCTGTCTTCAGATGGTCAGAGAATGGATGTGGGTCTGTGTTTTGAGGCTGTCATTTTTGACCAGGGAAATGTGTAGTCGACTGATGTTCACACATCTGTATATGTGTGTGCTGATTATGCTGAGCTAAAGCACAGCAGCGCTAAACCACCACACATGCATGTCTGGTTTTCCAGTGGGCTGAGCTGTCGCCAACCAAGCACCTGAACTCATCTTGTCAATCCTAGATTCCTACATTCCTAAGAATGCTCAGGAGAGAAACATAAATCAGCGCAATGTCAAGAGAAAAATTCAATATGCTTGTAGTTCTTCGACAAAGAAACAGACAGGCAGGATTTGATAAAACAGCAGCCTAGGAAGAAGAGGAGGGGAGAGAGAATGGAAAAGCGAATTGGGGGATGCAGTGTGAGAGACAGAGGGAGGGAGAGAGGGAGGTAGGGAGGGATGGAGTAAGGTTGAGAAGGAAAAACAACAGGAGAGAGAACAGACAGCCAGAGCATCATAGAGACAGACAGAGGTAGAGCAGGGGCAGGAAAAGCTACACTCTATCTGGCAACCATGACAACCGAGGAAAACGGATAACAAGCCCCTGTACCCTAACACCACCAGCAAGCTGTCTGTGAACCTTGATGGCCACAGAGACATTGAAAACCTGGAATTATGTAAATAATCTTGCTCTCCTTTTCAAGATCGATTAGTTCTTTTTTTTCGCCTTTTTACCTGGTGAGATGTGGGGTTGAATTCAGCTCTTCCGTCAGGGTGGGCTGAACCCAGATCAAAATGAACAGCTGGGAACCGCACACCAGAGCCTTTTTTACTGTGACCCATCAATGGAATCCCTGAGGTGGACATAATACTGCTCAATGGTTCTCCTCTGGAGCAAACAAGCAGGCATGCTGCCAGCAGACTTGAAGATATTTTCATGAAATGAGATAGAAGAAAGGAAGTATGTAAGCCAGTTAACACCAGGTGAGTGGACTTTACTCATTTTGAATGTGTAGAATGTTTTGTATAGTGTTGTCAATGAGAGCAGATTAAAATATATCAAAATGAAATACATTTGTATGTTTCCTGGGACATTGAACAGGGTTGATGACAGAAAGATGCAAGACTAAAAAACAGTGCACAGCACCAAATAATAGCTGTTTAATAAAATCAACAGTAATTATTTTTATTTATGTATTCTTTACTAAGAATTTCACTAAGGATTCTTTACTGAGTCTGAATCTTCCTATAGCAATCTATAATCTAATCTTTTAAATGCCTAAAAAATATGTTCTTGAAGCACACAAACATATTCAAGTATGGTGATGACTGTTTGTGACTGTCAACAGGTTAAGATTATAATGAATCTTTCCCATCAATGCTCAATGGCTTGTCCTCGAGAAGCAGTACCATGTTTCCCCAAGACTTGCTATTGATATAATTAAGAGGATACAGGCCTAGCTATACTATTTCATGGACTAAACTCTAATTAGTATTAGCTGTTAAATTAGCTGAGAATATTCATGTTGCATTTCCTCCTTCATAACATTAAATGGGAATGTTAAATAGAAATTGAAAGGCAGCAGAAAACATTTTGGCTTATAATAAGTAACTATGGTAAGCACATGTAGCTTGTAAAAATATAAAGTAAATATGATTCTAAACTTTCAGCTCATTGTTAAATTCTTCAAAAACAAAATAAGGAAAGGCAAATGAATATACAGGATGTCCTGCTGACGCTGTAAAACCTGAGTAAAGACTGAAGTGCTGTATTATTAAATATTTGTGATTCATACAGTATATTGTCCCATTTTGACATCTACTGCTGGCATTTTAAACAGCCTGTTATGAATTGTAGGCATTGCCACTGTAGGATTTACTGTTGAAGTCAGAATTATTAGCCCCCTGTCTATTTTTTTCCTAATTTCTGTTTAACGGAGAGAAAGAGTTTTTTAACACATTTCTAAACATAGTTTTAATAACTAATTTCTAATAACTGATTTCTTTTATCTTTGCCATGATGACCGTTAATAATATTTATAGATATTTTTAAGACACTTCTATTCAGCTTAAAGTGACATTTAAAGGCTTAACTAGGTTAATTAGATTAACTAGGCAGTTTAGGGCAATTAGGCAACTTATTGTATAACGATGGTTTGTTCTGTTGACTATCAGGAAAAAAATTAGCTTAAAGGGGCTAATACTTTTGTCCTTAAAATGGTGTTTAACAAATTATATCTGCTTTTATTCTAGCCTGAAATAAAGCAAATGAGGCTTTAAAGATTAGGAAACAAGTGACAGAATCACTACAGTATTTCACAGGCGCAATACACTGATGGTCTCAGGTGTGCGTTGATGTATTTCTGATGTGTGTTTGCATGTTTTATGCTCAGCTTAATCTATGTGTAAATAACATGATATTTTAAGGTTGTTTCACAATTATCTTATTAGATAACACTATATAGGTCAACATGTTTCGAATTCATCCTTTATGCTATTTTCCTGCTGGTTCAATTTTAAATATGAATTCCACATAAAAGTGAAACTGTAACACAACAACAGAGTGATTTAAACATACAATTATCACCCAAAGTGTGCTTGATAATTGGATCATTACTGTCATCACTGTGTGCTTTAAAAAGACATAAAATAGGCCACAATATCATTGGACTGGAAATGGGAGATTGAAGATATTGTTTCAGAGTCACTGGGTCAGTGATACTAATATAAAGCTTTTTCTCAGCTGATTGCTAAATTACTGCACCTATATCTCATCAGGATTATAATCTAAAATAAAACTACATAAAAGCACAGCCCACACTGCAAAAATAGCAGTGTTATTTCAACTCTAATAGAGTTAAAATCAACTCAGAATGAGTAAACATATTTCCTTGCAAGGCAAGGAATGTTTTTTTATTTAGCACATTTCATACACAGTGGTAATTTAAAGTACTTTACATAAACATGAATAAAAGAAACAAGTGTAAGAAAATAAAAACAACAAAGAATAAAAATTATTAAAACAGATAAACCATATTAAAATGTGTCAAACAGGTTTTAAAAGAATGAAAAAGAAACGAAAGACATATAATAGTTTAATCTGTCAGACATAGCAGAGTGCTCATTCGGTAAAGGCACAGCTAAACAGATGTGTTTTAAGCCTTATTTTGAATGTGCCTAATGTTGGAGCACATCTGATCATTTCTGGAAGCTGATTACAGCAGCAGGGGGCACAGTAGCTGAAGGCAGATTTACCCTGCTTTAACTGAATGCTTGGAGTTTCTAATTTATTTGACATAAAGATCTGAGTGATCTGTTAGGTTTGTATTCAGTGATCATATCTGTAATGTATTGAGGTCGTAGGCCATGATTTATAGACAAGTAATAAAACTTTAAAATCTGTTCTAAATGTAATTGGGAGCCATTGTAAAGAACTGAGGACAGGTGTAATGTGCTGTCATTTTCTGGTTCTGGTCAGAATCCTGGCAGCAGCGTTCTGGATGAACTGCAACTGTCTGACTGACTGTCTTTTTGGGAATGCCAGTGAGGAGTCTATTGCAGTGATCCAACTGCAGTAACTGCAAAAATAGCAGTGTTGCTTCAACTCTAACAGAGTTAAAATCAACTCAGAATGAGTGAAAACAATACTGTTAAGAGAGTTACTTGTACAGCACTATACTATATTTACACTGTATTGAGTTAAACAATAACTCTGATCTACACTTCTGGGAGTTGATCGTTCCCTTACTCTAGTGTAAAGATAGAAAATTCAACACAACTGAATTAACTTTGAATTTTTTAACTCTAGTCTACCTAGCAAAAATTACAATACTCATGATTTATAGTTAAAATAACTTACACAAGACAATTCTCCAAGAATGATATAAAAAAATATACAAATACAATTATTTTATCAACAAAGCATGTTAACACACGACAGCCAGCAATAGAAAATGTACACTTTTTTTTTTTTTTTTTTTTTTTTTTACAAATTAACACTTTTAAACACTTTAAAAGATCTTAAAAATGACATGACTTTGATGTTACATTTAGATTGTTGGTCAAATTTATTCCTGGATGTTTGCAATAACACCATCAAGTGTTGGTTAGCTGTAACTTAATGATCTGACACTGGGTCAAATCAGCTTCGAACTCTAACTGTGTTCATTTATCAAAATATTACTCTATAATGTCAACACTTTACTCTGAAATGCTTTTACACATAGAATTTAACACAGACAAATTTGTTTTGCACCAAACTTGACTTCAATTACCAGGTACAGATGAAGTCAGAATTATTAGCCCCCTTCAAATTTTTTTTTTCTTTTTAAATATTTTTCCCAAATTATGTTTAACAGAGCAAGGAAATTTTCAAAGAATGTCTGATAATTTTTCTTCTGGAGAAAGTGTTATTTATTTTGTTATTTTGTTTCGGCTAAAATAAAATCAGTTTTTAATAATAAAAAAAAACACATTTTAAGTTCAATATTATTAACCCCCTTTAAGCTATATATTTTTCGATAGTACACCGAACAAACCATCATTACACAATAACTTGCCTAATTACCTTAATCTGCCTCGTCAACCTAATTAACCTAACTAAGCCTTTCAATGTCACTTTAAGCTGTATAGAAGTGTCTTGAAAAATATCTAGTCAAATATTATTTACTGTCATCTTGGCGAAGATAAATTAAATCAGTTATTAGGGATAAGTTATTAAAACTATTATGTTTAGAATTGTGTTAAAAAAATCTCTCCGTTAAACAGAAATTGGGGAAAAAAATAAACAGGGGGGCTAATAATTTGACTTTAACTGTATGTTTTTTTTACCCACTTTACTTACCTTGGATGATTGGCTTGTAAATCTCCCGGGACATTCTTCGGTGACTGCAATCTCCTTCATAACCCCAGCAATCTGCCTCCAGTCTTTATATGTTCTCAATGCGGTCTGTGGTAGCTATTACTCACTGTGATTTTTTGTGGATTATCTGCCTTCCAGTTGTCATAGAAGTGCACATTAAACACATGATCATCTAGGAACAATTTGACTTGCATTTAAAGAAATTGTGTAGTTTTCAAACTGGTCAATAAAGTATTGTCTAATGACAGAAATATTATTTGTTCTAGTGTATACTGTATGTATACTGGAAAGTCATACAGAACATGTAATATAGATGTTGTTATAGCAGAATTGCCACATTTGTACATTGGCAATAAATCATAACCTTCACCAACAACAAATAATTCTACATTTGACAAGGAATGTTATTTTAATGTGACAGTGATGCTTGACAATGGAGTGAGGATCCTCATGCAGGTCTTTGTTGTACAGGATGGTCAAGCAAGCAGAGGTAAATACAGGAACAAACAGATGTGTATGGGCAATCCAGAGTCGTAGTCAAAATAGCAGGCAAATGGTCAGAAGGCAGGCAGCATGCAATGTAAATAAACAAAACACAGCAAGGTCAAACACGGCAAACAAGGCAAAGGAACACACGTCGTAAAGTTCACATACATGATACAAGACTCAGCAACAATGTATGTGGGTGTGCTATCTTTATAGTCCAGGAATCAGTCATTGAGCAGCTTCAGCTTGGAGTTAGTGTGTGTGTGTGTTGCATGACTGAATCTGTAGTCCATCAGATGGCAGATTTGTAGTTTGTGTGAATGTGAATGTTTTCCAGCGATCTATGGTAGTTAGATCACTGGTGATTGTGACAGTAATAAGTTATCCTTAAATTAAATTTTTTTTTTACTTATAATGCTTAAAGGTTACATCATATGTAACTTTCACTTAGTTGATTTTTTTTGTATAGTTAGGTTTCTGCCGTGTGTGTGTGTCAGCCCAGAAAACTGTTATAAGCTGTCATAAGTCTTAAAATGTGCTATAATTTGATCCAATTGAATTGTGTGCCATTAAGCAAATTATTTCAATGTGCCCACCTCTAAGAAAACTATAAACTTTGTCTCGTTCCTACTAGAAG